CGGCTGCAGGGCCGGGCGGGGGGAGTACGGCGGCGTCTGCGGGGGAGGGGGCGGAGGCGGCGGGGGGAAAACGGGAAGGGAAGAGCGGGGATGTGGTTTCGGGGCGGGTTCCTCGCGGTGGCGGGGGTCCGTACGGGCTGTTGGGCCGCTACCGTACCAAGTCCTCCCCCGTTGTGAGTCTCCAGTTCACGACTCGGAATCTGCTGCTGGCGGGGGGGCCCTTCCACCGTCGGGGCCCCATCACCGGGTGACTGGGGGGTGGGGGAGGGTGTGTGTGGGGGGGTACTGGGTGGAGGGGACGTGGACGTGGGGCAGCACCTGGGGGAGTGTTGCACACGCCGACCAGGACAAAACCCCAGAGCTCCCTTCCCCCAGCTCAGCTCATTAGGACATACACGTACGTGCATACGTACATACATACATGCATACATATAGGCAGGCGGCTGGCAGAGGTTAAGGCCTGACTTCTGCTCCCAGTTGACCCAGTCGACCCGGGTTCAAATCCGCCTGCCGGCTCCTCGGGTGTTTGAGGAGTGATGAAATGGGAGGTGGCCCCCCATCTTATGGACGGTGTAGGACGTGATAATATCAACTTGCGAGCTGACCAGGAACTAAGTTGATGCGCCGTTGATCCGCTAGATTTGGTTGGATGCTGGTGGTGAGTTGCCGAACTCAACGAATACATTCTGAAGTCGGATGGGGTGACGGATTAGGGTGCCCCTCTAGCAGGGGAGAGCAGGGACTGCCCCGGGAAAGGGGGCCGCTGGCGAAGTCAACCACCCTGTAACAACATACATATACACACACTCACCATGGACCTGGACTTCACCCTCTAATCTCGACTCGCTTGGGTGCTTGTCGGCATGAACGGGGCAGGTAGGTGTGTATGTAGGTATGTATGTATCTATGTAGGTAGGTACGTTCGTACGTATGTAGGTAAGTGTGTGTGTAATGTGTGTGGCCGCCGTACAAACCCACCTGCATCTCGGAGTGTGTGGGTCGAGTGATGCGTACTACGTAATATACCCCCTCCACACCCACGCCCTGTCCCACCAGAAGGGGGGGGGCCCTCTGAGTTGACGGTGACTCAATGTTGGCGTTACGACTTCCTTCCTGACGGACATACGGACAGACGGACTGGGCTATGAGCTGATTCGAACCGCGGACCCGAAGACCGGAGCCGGGGGCCTTACGGGCCTTGCTGCGATTACGTATTTCCCGGGGACGAGGGTGAAGAGGGTGACGGGTGTAGTTTTTGGAGGGGGTTGCAACCTTCCCCCTCCGCACTCACTGCTTTACCCCCGGCCCCACAGTGGTTCGTCTTAACCCCCACCCCCACCCGCACCCGCACCCTACCCCCAACCTGCGGTGTATCAGCTCTTTTCGTCTTCACTGCGTTTGGGTGAGACCAGCTAGCGCAATTTAATATCGTCGTATTCCTGTCTGTCTGTATGAATGTGTGTATGTGAAGATGCCAACAGGTAACGTAAAGAGATGCGGAGACACGATCGAAGAAGCATGTCGTACATGATAAGTACCAACGACAAACTGTGCACAAAAGGCGGGTAAATGACAAGGCGATCCGGCGCCTCGGCAGCCGAGGCTGTATTTCGCCCCTTCCTCTTCCGCAAGAGTCTCACACCGCCGCATACAGACAGACAGATAAACAGAAAGACAGACAGAAAGACAGACAGAATGACAGACAGACCTTAGTAACGGTACGCCTAACCGTGGCACCTAGTCCCTAGAGAGTACACATATACACACATACACACACATATACACACACACACACACGTGTCAGAGAACCCAAAAACACACCAGCACCACTGCACAAGGTGTGCCCCTGCTCGCGCCTCCTCACTCTCCCTTCCCCGCATAAACAGCTACGTCGCCGCCTCCAAAAAGAAAAAAGAAAGGCAACGGCAAAGCAGTACCTCCCCCCTTCAGCTCAAAGCCAGCGGCCCCCTGCAACGGCACTCGCCCCGCCCCGCCCACCACACCCGCCCCGGGCCCCCCCCCCCCGGGGCAAACTAACCCACAGCTCAAAGCCAGGACAATCCGCATCCCATTCCTCCTTCTCCTTTTAACGGGGGATGCGGCCTGGCAACAGCAAACAAACAAGCAACGGCAACAGGAACCTCTGAAACTGTAATTTCCCCCGCGAGGAATGAATACCGCGGGTGCCCCACTACGTCACCACCACCGCTACTGCCAATGACTACTGCCCGGGGGCCCAATGGGGGCAGTAGCAGCCACGCAGGCGGCACGTGAAGCGGCTTTAGCAGTAGCAGGAGAGCCCGCCCGCCGTCGTCGCCGCCATCACCTACCCCTCCGCCAGCTCCCTCTTCACAGTAACCATGTACTGGTAGTGCCCCACTCGCCAGGTGAAGGGGTTGGCGGCGCCCGGGGGCCCCTCGTGGAAGGCCTCGTGCAGACATGCCGCCGTGAACACCGCCGCCACCTCCACCGTGTCCTGCGTGTGTATGTGTGCATGTATGTATGTGTGCATGTATGTATGCGTGTACGTGTGTATGTGTGTGTGTGGAGAGAGGGAGCGGAGGATGGAGAGGTATCTTTTTTTTGTGTATATTGTGATGGGTTGGGCAGTGGCAGGAGGGCGGTCAGTGTGTGTGTGTATGTGCGTGTGCGTGTGTGTATGTGTGGTACGTTTCCACATACGGAGATCCCCTCTACCGCACCCGACCGCCTCGAGGTCCCCCCAAGGCAGGTAAACTGACGGTAGGCCCTGTCCCCCCTTTCCCCCCCTCCCCCCTCAACCCCTCAAACCCCTTACCCCCTCAAACCCCCCTCCCCCCCCTCCCCCCCCTACCCCCCTCCCCCACGCGCCCTTACCTGGCTGTCGCCCCCTCCCAGGACTCGGTTCATCAGTTGCGGCATCAGCCGACCTCGCACCGGATCCAGATCCACGAACTGCAGGTGGCCCGACTGCGCGGCGGTTGGGGTGTGTGCAGGGGGCCGGGGCAGGGGGGTTTGCGGGATGACGACGTGGCAGGGGAAGCGAAACACATACCACCACTCACTGCCGCGCACTACCAATTCCTCGACGACGAAAACGTCACCCTTCGTCCCCGCCCTGATCCCCCGGGTGGCTGGGGGGTGGCTGGGGTGTGTGGCTGGGTGGTCAATGATCACGGGGGTCTATGGTCACCCCCCTCTGGGCTCGTGTAGCTCGTACCGCCCTCTGCCCACGGCTCTTACCCCCCTCCCACTGCCGCAGCAGTAGCAGAATAGCTCTCTCTCAGTATAGCAGTATAGCAGTATTGCAGCATTGCGGTATAGCAGCGTAGCAGCATAGCAGTACAGCAGTACAACACTATAGCAGTATAGCAGTACAGCAGTACAGCAGTGACGGGGCGCTGTACACACCTGTGGAAGTACCAGCAGGCGACTGCCCGGGGCCGCATCAGACCAGAACTTGCCGTACTTGTCCCCGGGGGGAATCAGGGTGCCCACCGCCGCGCCTGCGAAACCCCCGGGGGGAGCCGGGGGGGATATCCTACATCATCGGAGGTGAGTCTTCGATCCTTTTCCGGGGCTTTTGAGACAGGTTACCCCCCTCCCCTCCCCTCCCCTCCCCGCCATTCCCCCGGGTCATACCCTCCCCCATCCCTGGGGGCCCCATCGGGGCGGGGCCGGTGCGTTAGGTTGTGGAGGTGGCGGCAGGAGATGAGATGAGACCGGTGTGCGTGAGCGCGCGTGCGTGTTACCGTGCTTGTGACACATGCCGGGTATAGGTTGATGAAAGGGTACGGCAGCCCAATGTCGAGCTGCTGTTGTACGACTTCAGCAAAACAAAATCCTCGAACCCTTGAAGACGCGTCACCGCCATCATTCCACTAACCCCACTTCCCCGGCTCCTTTCCCCCGCCGCCACCACCATTGCATTCACTTGCGCAATACCCTCACACTCTGCGTGTGACACTCACCGACGATGCCCAACGCCTTCCGAGGTCGCGTCTTGCCGCCCTCCGCCTCCTCCTGCTTCACCTCCCCCCCCACCCGGGAGCCCCCCGCCGGGTCAGATGGCTCCCGGGGACTCGACGCGTCCTCCGCCACCGTGGCGCAGGCCATAACCCGAACCCCTCCTCCCCCGGGCCCCACCTTACCACCCGGCCCCGTACCGGCATCAGATCCAGATCCAGGTCTGGATCCCGACCTGGATCCATATCTGGCCAGGGTTGCCGCCACCCCCTCCAGCCTCGCCCTCCAGCGAACCACTTTCTCCCCATCCCTGCCCCCGCCCCCGGCCCCGGCCCCACACCACCCTGGAGCATCATGTGTTGGCTGTGGGGGCTGTGGGGGCCTGGATACCCTGCCTGGCGGGACCGGAGCCCTTCCCCCTGCTGCAGCTGCTGCTGCTGCGGCTGATGTTGATGGTGTGGTTGATGTTGTTGTTGGTGGTGGTGGCATGTCGTTCAGCGCTTGCCGCAGCTCTCCCACCACCTCCAGCCACCTGCCAGCCTCCTCCTCCAAACCACCACCACCACCATCATCACCACATAAGTCCACCGGATCCAGCAGTACGGCAGTGGAGATCAGGTCGTCTGGAGGTGGGTTGGGAGGCAGGGGAGCGAGAGGGGGATGAGGGCATCATACGGAGGTGGGAGGGAGGGAGGGAGGGCCCCCGTGGCGGCGGCACTGCCAAGGAGGGGAAAACCCCTTGGTGAGGGGCAGCTGATCCCCGTGGTGGACTTCATTGATCTGCTACTGCCACCACCACCACCGAGCTGTTTGTTGGCCGTGGCGGGGTGGAGGGGAAGGCAGGATCGTGTGTGTATTGTACGGCTTTTTCCTCCTCAGCGGGATGGGGTTGAGGGGAGTTGTTGGGCCGGTGATGTTAAGGAGTTCGGTAGGTTCGGTAGGTTTGTTAGGTAGGTGGTTGTAGGGTGGTCGGAATGTCCGCTAGGCGGGGTGGGGTGGGGAAGGGTTACTGTGGTGCCGTGGTGGTGTGAACGGGTATACATACACATATACATACACACACACGTGGCCATGTCGGGAGACACCCGGGACGAAGCCCTTGGACGAGCCGGTGGGGATTCTGCCTTTGGCACGCATTGTACTACACTGTACTACATTGTACTACACTTGCGGTGGTAGAGGTCAGTACCGTCAGAGGCTGGGCTCGTTCTCCCACCCTGTTGGTGCTGGTGCTGGTGCAACCCCTTACGTTGCAAACCCATCCGTACATTTCCGTAATCCCGCCCGTATTCGTACCCTTCGCGAGGTGCATTGCCGCCAACTTGCCGCCCCTGCCGTGCCCCAGTACGGCAAGGCGGTGCAGGTCCAGCGCCGCGGGCAGATCCCCCTCCCGTACACGTACGGAAATGAGCTGTAGAAGCGGATCTAGGATGGCAGACTTCGGGTGGGGCGGGGGATGACGGGGGGAGGAGCGGGGGGGGTGAGGTTTAGGGGGGGCCCATCAAATTGCTCGGCGGCTGTCGTACGATGGCATAAAGCCAGGTTTGACTGATATCGTCTCGTCCATTAGGGACACAGATTGGGGACACAGGGGGGCTTCCCGTGCATCACTTGAACCTCGCAGTTCCAGAAGCAAAGAAAACAACTGCGTGTACGAACGAGTACGGCACACTGCTGCGGCAGCGCTCCCCAGTTGTAAGTTCCTATATTGAAGGTTTAATAATTTCTTGCCCCAGCTCCCAGTGCTACTGTCCGCTACTGTCCTTTCCCCCTTCACTTCAAATCTCACCTCAGCGCTGTCCACCAGACCCTCGATGTCGTACTGTACGACAGCGTAACCCCACGAGACCACCCTGTCCACAAGGCCCTGGTACCATTTGGCCTTGCACTGATGCGGGAGGGGGGGGGGTGGGGGGGTTTCAGGGAGGAGGTTTGATGGGGGGGGCGTTGATGGGGTGTGTGTGTGCGAGGGGTTTGATGGGGTGTGTATGCGGGGGGTTTCAAGGAGGGGGGCTCGGGGAGGAGGAGGCGGGTCACGAGCCGGCGGGAGCCGAATACACTGTACACTGACAGGGTTGTGTGACGCGGGTAAAGTCGGGGGAAGGGAGGTAGGCACTCAAACCCAGGAAAAGAAGCGGCCCATGCAGCTCTCAACCAGCTGCCATCACTCGACCCCCCCAAAAAAACCCTCTTTCCCCCCCCCTCCACCCTGCTCCCCCCCCCCGTACCATAAACCCGCCGAACATGATCACCACAGGGAAGCTCTCATTCCCCAGCTGCTCGGGACACGTCACCGTCACGCGTGTGGGCGGTCCGGTCCACTGAGTCAGGGGCAGCTGCTTGCGAACCCGGTGACCAGCCAGCGGGCCCCAACTGACCTGGGGGGTAGGGGGGGGCCCGGGAGGGGGGGTAGGAGGGGTTTAGGAGGCGACACGCCTTAGAGTGGAGTACGAAATAGCAACTGACAACCGATCAACCGACCAGTTGGTGAAGAGTTGAGGGGGAAAGCGGAAAAGGTCCATACACATACAGATATACATACAGAAACACATAGAGACACACCAATGTGGTGTACACAATCACAACCATGAGAAACTTGACGAGAAGGAAAAACAGACGGTACATGCCGTACATGCCGTACATAAGGCTTGTGTGTCGTGCATCATCACACGAACATGTCATACATACATGCCTGAAAGTACACCCATACACACCCATACACCCTCTACGAATGGTGTGAAGGAAGGTGCTGCCACACGACTACCCCCAGCACTACCACCGCTGTACAACCGCTACTGCTGTCGCCCGTCATCACCCACATCCACATGCGGTTGAAGGGGTGCTGCCACCTCCCCCTCCGCGCCCTCCGCCGGTTGCTGCTGCTGGTGGCTGAGGGGGCCCACCGTCAGGGGTATCTCCATGGACTGGAGGCGTGTGTGTGTATGGACGTGTGTGTGTGTATGTGTCAGGGGGGAAGGGGGCGGGGGAAGGGGGAGGGGGGTGAGGTGTATCAGCAGCGAGTGGGAAATCACTTACGGCCAGTACGACAGTACGGCGGGCGGACGAAGAGACACGCAGTTGGGAGCAACACTCAGCTACGATACCGACCACCGCCGCGGCCGCCATGTCGTGCCGTACGATATCCCGCAACAAACCCCTCGACAACCCCCGGCGCGATGGTACCATGCCCTGGTACGTGGGGTGTTACAGTACCCAGACGGCCGTACATACACACACACCCCTGTGTACTGCAAACACCACCAAACCCGCAACCCCCCCGACACACCTGGCTATAAGGTGATGTCGTACTCCGCCACATCATCAGCGCTCCCGACCACCAGCTCCCCCAGCTGCCCCGGGGGCCGCACTGCAGCACACCGGACATAAGGCCCCCCGGACAGCACCCCCCCCACTCCCACAGAGGGTGTGCTCCGTCACCACCGCCACCACCGCCACCACCACTACTCGGGGTGGCCCCCCGGGTAGGCAGATTCGCTGAGAGGTCACCGTCCGCGTCCCCCCCGCGGGGTCCCCCGCCTCTCCCAGCAGCCCCAGCCGCCGCCTCCGCCTCCAGCGACTCCATAACTTTAGGAGGGGCTGTAGCAGCAGTAGCAGTAGCAGCTGTGTCGCCAACGGCAGTAGCTGCTGCCGGGGGGGTAGCAGACCGCGGGGGGGTCCCAACCGGGTGGCTCCCGGTCTTCGGGGGCGAGGAGGGCCTCAGAACCGATATGCCGTACGAGTTGGGCTGCCTGTGCTCAACCCCCTGGCGCCCTTCATTGACCGGGGGTGTTGGGGGGGAGGTGGGGTTTTGCTGCACCAGCCGGTTAATAAAGGAGGCGGGGGGCGGAGAATGGGCCCCCTTGGCGCTGCTGGTCCTCCTCCCCGCCTCCACCTCTACCGCCACCTCCACCTCCACCTCCACCTCCACCGCCAGCGGCTGCTGCGGCTCCGGGTGCGGTTGGTCGCTGGGGCGGTAGTTGGCGCTGTTCAACATGGGCACGTTGAGCTCCTTTGGAGACGACATGAAAGAGGAGGAGGGGAAGATGAGGGAGGGGGGATGAGCTGAGGAGGGGGGTTTGAGGGGGGGTTGAGGGGGACGAGGGGGAGGAGGGGGAGAGGAGGAGGAGAGGAGGAGGAAAGCAGCTGTGACCCTCTTCGACTCTTTATTCCGCGAGTAGGTGAACGACACGCAAACACACACACGCACACCTATACACACGTTGAGGGGTGGTGATGGGGATGGTGAAGCCGGTGGATCTCGGGAAAGGAAAGGAAGGGGAGGGGAGGGGGCCGCCCTCCTGAAATACCCTTCGAACGGGAAGTACCTCCTCCTGAGGCCTTGGGGGGCTGGAAAGGCGATCTAGGTTTGGCGAGTGGGGCTGCATGCTGGCGTTGCATGCTGGGGTTGATGCTGTGTTGGCTGCGCGCAGCGAACATATCGTCTATTGGAGCGACGACAGCGTCACTACGGATGGCTAGTTGGTTGATCACAAGATGTCCACGGAGGCCCCCAGGACGCCGATCAGTGGTTGCTCACCGTGTCACGTGCTGTTGCTGGAGCAGACATTAGTAGCGAGTTCGCTTACAGATAGCGTGCTGTGGCTTCAAGACGGACAATGCGCTAGACAACGGGTACAGCTTCACGGTAGGGCGTTGCGATGCTGGAACAACTTAAATATGATATTGGTTTAATAATATATGTGTGAATTAAATGATAAAACTGAGAATATGTGGCAACTTGACGAGGGTCGCCACAAGCTAGCACGTCGAGAGCCAACTCCGCGGAAATACAGAAACTTGGACTCAAGGACCAACAGGGCGAACTTGCAGAACTTCTATTCGTGGGGTTTATTTTTGGGCACTCCAGTTTCCTTGCCTCGACGAAGCTGATGGTTCCCGCACAGGTAGACAGGTGTTTATAGGAACGATGCTTTCCATCTAAGATAACAACAGTAGTATCACGTTGCAGGCTCCTAAGATGCTGTGGGGTACCGGTAACATTGCCTTGTATGCGGTCACGAGTCGATGAGCCGCTGGGGGGCCTACGGCATTAGCTACAGGTTTGCACTTTGCAGCCGTCCGTCCATTAGACGTCATGATGCGCCCTCTCGATACCCTCAGGAAATCAATAGCATCCTCAACCCGCGCGAAACCAAAGGGGGACGTCAATCAGTCAGGAGCAACCTGCAACACATAACGGTAATAACGACAACGGTTCCCAGGGTCGTGTGATCTTTAATGCTCCGACGATCATGGGACGATATGGATAATCCAAGAACGGCTGTCACTTGCATGCATTTAGAACTATCAGAGACACTTGCGATAGGTACAAACGTGCGGGGTAAGAAACACTCGCTAGCAGTTCCGAAAGCTGTTGATACTAGCAGTGTAAGAGCAGTGCTAGGATAGAAGCCTGGAATATCTAAATATCAATGTAAAATTAACCTGCTTTCTTTTCCTTTTTCCTCTAAAGCATATGCGCAATCTGCACCTGCGCATTTTACTTACTTGGCCATGCAACGAACACAACCCTACAACTCCACGGCCTTGAGCCATTTTGGTATAGCCTAACAAAACCTTAACAGAAACATATGCAAATATGCACGCTTCCATCACCGCGGTGCCGGCGTTGCGCCCGTCATTGCTGCTGCCGCCGTCGCGGTCACGCTGTATCCAGGTCCAATCTCCGGAAAGGAAATGCTGCCTCGGGGCTCCGTCTCCGCAAGCCACGAGCATCGAGGCCGGTCCCGAAAACACATCCCCCTGTCCCCCGCCATCATCCGAGTAATCCCTCCACCTCCCTCTCCCCCCACGCCGCCGCCAAAAGGCGTCCGAATCAGCGCAAGCGGCCAGCCCGCCAGCCCGTGTGTTGGTTTCGGAGCCTTCTCCAGGCGGTACTCTGGCCCCAGCAGTGCTGCCATCGCCCAGCCGCCCATCGCCCCGCCCAGATGCGCACTGGGAGGGCGGGAAGGGGGGAGGGCGGGAGGGGGGGAGGGGGGAAGGCAAAACGGTTCAAGCGAGGGGCAACGAAACGGAGAAAGGCACTTCGTGGAAGGAACGAAACGTGAAGTGATATGAAACCTCGTTAATATGAAACGAGGTAGCTAGCCGGCTAGCTGGGGCCGCACCGCACCATGGGGGGCCCCACCGCGCAGGGGGCACATCGTCCCACACGTGGATGTGCGTGTGCATGTGGAGCCGCGGGGGGGTGGGGGGGGAAACTGGAAGCGGGGACAATAGCCCTCCCTCCTTCCTTCCCTCCTCCTTTTCGAGGGCGGGAGGGAAGGAGGGGAGGTAGGAGATTTCAGGGGGTGAGGATGATACACCCTGTGGTGCGTGTGGATGTGTATTTGTGTATGTGGGGGGGTATGCGGAACGTACGGATGAATCCCCCGATGGGCAGCTCCCACCTCACCCCCGAGCACATACAGCTGCGATACACGCGCGCCCACATAACCCCCTTTCCCTCGATTTCTCCATGCCGTACGCTGCCGTACATTGCAGTCGTCCCCATCCACCTACATGACGTCCAGTTTGCTCCACAGCATGACGTGATACACTGCCACCACCTGCAACATCCGCCTCCCTCCCGCCCTCAGCGCCTGAGCCCCCTCGGCCGGCAGCACGTCCAGGTGGGCCCTGTGATAGTGCCACAGCGCCGCCGCCAGGCCGAACACAGCCCCCGAGCTCCCCAGGCTGGCCCGACCGCCGTTGAGCGCCAGGGAGGCGACGGTGGCGGCGGCGGAGGCGGCCACGTATACGGCAGTGAAGCGGCGCCGTCCCGCCACCCGCTCGAACTGGGGACCTAGCTTAGCCAGTGCGAGATAGTTGGCCTAGGAGGGTAGAGGGGTAGAGGGGTAGAGGGGTAGAGGGGTAGAGGGGTAGAGGGGTAGAGGGGTAGAGGGGTAGGGCGGGTAGGGCGGGTAGGGCGGGTAGGGGGGAGAAGACGAGCCACGAGCGAGTGAAGCTGACTGCTGTCAAGGAAGAGTGCTGCGGCAGATGTAAAGAACGCATAACCAACCAGTCGGCGGCGGGCTAGGGGGGAAGGGGAGGGGGACGGAAAGAAGAAAACGGTGGGACAGGGAAAAAACACACCAACTGCACAAATGCACGTAATAAGCACACCAATTCGCCGATTTCTGAACATCCAACCAACAATTGTTAGGTAGAGGCCAGGCAGAAGGAGGCGCAACGAAGGAAAGGGAGAAAGGTACGGAGTGTACGGACGATTTGATGGGCTGTGCGCTTTACAGCAGTACGAGGTGGTGGGGGGGTTGGTCAAGGTGGGGGGTAGTGGGGTTGCGAAGGACGTGGCTGGAAAGAGCCGCCCTAGTTTCTTACAACAGCAAGTAGGTAACAATCATGTACGACAGGAGGTCCGCGCGGCTTCCATGTACGGCAGCGGCCCTCAGGCTCCCCCCTCACCGCCAGATGTAGCGGCCCTCCATGTACGAGTCCCCAGGTCACCAACCGCCACAACTGCCCGCGGAGTACGGCGGAACGGTCCTACATACGGGGGGGGGGGAGGAGTCATTTGATGCATAGCACCTACCGGATGGATGGATGTACGACAGGGGTGGGTTTCCGGGAGGGGGAGGGGGAGGGGGAGGGGGAGAAGGGATTTTTTTCCCCACCCAGGTGCCCTCCTCTCTCTCCCAAATACTCGCCACCCCGCCTCCCCCCCTTTCGCCATCTCGCACATCCCCCCGCCTACCAGCATCAGCAGCGGGGTGGCGAAACCCAGTGTCGCCACTTGTACTGCCGCGCCGTACAGGTGGGCCCTCAGTACGGCACTGGTGGCGGGGCACCCACCCCGGTGTAACTCGGCCAGATGGTCATCCAGCAACCGTTGAGCTTGAGCGCTGTGAGCGGGTGTGTGTGCGGGTGTATGTACGTATGTACGTATGTATCTACCTACCCCCGGGGGCGAGGTGGTGAGACCGGGTGGGACTTTTGACAAGGGGTAGTTCGGGGGAGAAGGAGGGGTGTGCGGGCGGGGGAGTATGAGCAGTTTTGGTGCAAACAAAACACACAACTCACCTCCTCAGGTGAGGTGGACATGAGGAACAGGTGGAACAGGCCCATCCGGACGGAGATCTCCCACTTACATCCCCCCAAGCTCCCCCCCCCACACACACAACCCCTCTCCTCCCCCCCCACACACGCACAGCCACTCACCCCGCGGCTGCCAGCCACTGCGTGACCAGCTGCGTCACGTGGGGCCCTAACAGCTCCTTGAGCGCGGTGGTGGGTGGGAGGGACGACGCTGCGGACGTGGAGGCCAGGGGGGCGGCAAAAAAAATGCTGGAGGGGGAGGGGGAGGGGGAGGGGGGCCTGGGCTGGATGGCGGGGCACGAGGTGGCAGTTGCGACAGCGCCCGCGGCGACAAAGGGCGCGGAGGCGGCGGCGAGGGCGGCGAGGCGGGGTCGAGGGGTCTGTGGACCGAGGCCGGAGAGGTGGGGGGCCCGGGGCGACCGGAGAGGGTGTGACCCTCGGCCTCCCGCCGGACCAGGACCAGGACCAGAAGCGCTGCCACCACCGCTCATAGCGCTTTAACAGATGGAATTCGGGTTAAAAGACTCTGGTAAAGTAGGAGAAGTTGAAGATAGGTGATTACATACCGTACTGCCTCTAATATTTGTGTGATTCACATTTGAAATGCCATCACCATTGTTCTGCCAGGCGTAATTGTCCTAGTCTTTTTCCAAGCAGGCTGCACCACCAATGGTACGGCACACAGCAGAATTTTAAAAAATTTGCAAGCTGAAACTCATAGTCCAGGGTCCATCCTTAGTGTTATAATAGTGTATTTAGTATGTTTAATTGATGCATGGATCCTGTCAAGCGGCCTTTCAAGCGGCCAAAGCTTTTGACCGACTGAGGCAGTCAAACACTTTTCCGTTTGGCTCCCAAGCTGCCAGCGGATGTCGCTAAGGAGCAGCGTCTGGGATATGTTCCTGTTTAAAGCAGCAACAGGAGCGTGCAGAGGGAACCAAGCAGTGCTGCTTTAGACGCGGAAACTGGAAGCGCCTTGACAGAACCGCTCGCCCTGGCAGCCGCGCAAACCAGAGCCCAGCAGGGCGTCGAGGCCGCACCGAATCCGCTGCCGCGCTTGGCAGCTTTGCGCGCCGCTGGGCCGCGTGAGGACATATATTTCCAACCCCCCAAGCCCATCAGATCAAATGGCAAGCGCTCCGGCGGCTATGCCAGGCGCTGCAATACTACAAAGCTTTTCGTGGCTTCAGTTCAGCAGGCGAAGGAGCTTACGGGCAGCGGAAGTAGTTCCTTCACTCGCCCTTCACGTGGCATTAAGGGACTGCTTTCAACTCTCTCCTCTACTGCATTCCTTTCAAACCCGCAGGTCCAGACGTTTGGACATCAACCGCCTTCGCGCGGAGTGCAGCGACGTTTTGAAGCCGTTGCTCCAGCCGGGCCGCAGCCAAGCCGGGGCCGCACAGCACCGCGGGCGGGCGGGCGGGCGGTAACCGCATTCGCGGACGCGATAGGAAGGCGATCAGGGACCGTCTGATCGCATCTGTCGGCAACGGAGGGTAAGATCGCTTCATCGCGCTTTGCTGTCCAATCGTGTGTGCGTGTGTTTGTCTGTCTGTGTGTATTTGTGTGTGTCTGTGTGTTCTCTTTCCTTGCGTTATTCCTGCCAGGTTTACCCGCCAGGGCCGTTTGTGGGATTTGGGGAATCTCTGTGAGTCATGGTGGTGGGTGAGCGCGGGTTGTCAAGACGCAGCCAGCAGGCAGTGTCCACATCTATATGTTAAGAATGAGAATGAGAGCTCAGAGCCGTGAAACTGGGAAAAAGGGGTCCCTTAAGTGCTGTCCTTGATGTGGGTTTGCGTGGCATGTACGTAATGTGTACGGAAGGTCCACCAACCAAACCAACACAATAAAAAAATGTCGACGAATCATCGACACATCCAATCGTCCAGCATACATACATACATACATACATACATACATACATACATACATACATACATACATACACCACCAATAACAACTTGACAAACCAACCAAAACCCTCACGCCAGCCCCCCACCCACCCCCGGAGGCGCCTCCGTCGCCCGACTGCCCCCAAACAGCGGTTGCAACCAACGCGCATCTAACCGCCGCCACCGCGCATGAATCCACGTGGTGGTTTCGGCGGTTGTGGTAGTTACGGCAGCTGATATGCCATCCGCCCCCTCCCACTCCTCCCCTTTCCACTCTCCCAGGGACACCGCCACGCTCTGCCCTTCGGTCGACGCCGCTCCCGCCGCTCCCGCCGCCGCCGCCCCCGCCCGCGGGCTACTCTGCGGAACGAGAGCCCCCCCAATTACTTCTAACCCCCCGTAACCGCCACCTGCTGGGGCTCTCCCGCCGCCGCCGCTGCGGCCGCCGCCAACATTACGAAGGGTCCTGGCACCGCCGCCGCCGCTGTACGACGTCAGCCAGGGTACCTCTCCCATCCAGAGCATTTCATTCGGGTCCACAGCGGCAGCGCCAGCGACGACTCCTCTGAATCTGGATCTGGATCCTAACCTGAGTTTGAATTTCGACCTGGATCTGCTTCCTGCGTCGCGCTCCCTCTTTGGGCAGTTCACCCCTCCGGCCTCATCCCCCCACAGCAACGGCCGCCGCAGCTCCCGAATCGCCCCCCCTCCCCCCTCCTCCCCTTCCTCTCGCTCCGCCTCCTGCTGCTGTTGCTGATCCTGATGGTCCTGCTCGTCCTCGTACTCTCCCCCTCCCCCTCCTTCCACCCCAGCTGGGCGCATCCCCGGTGGCCCCGAAGTGGAGGGGGAAGGAGGAGGCGGGGGGCCCTCTGGAGATGACGACGACGACGGTGTGGACTTGGCAGGTGGGGTTGGCAGGAGGGCTTGCATGACGGGCTGCGAGTCAGTGCGCGGGGGGGAGAGAGGGGCGGCAGCGGAGGGTGCGTGGGGTAATGTTGGGACGGGGACAGAAACAACGTACACACGACGTTCCAACGCCAGGATGGCTCCCTAACCCCTCTCCCTCTCCCTCTCCCTCTCCCTCTCCCTCTCCCCTGCCTACCTGCGTCACCACCCCCAGCCCCACAGTGGTAACCACCACCACCAGTATCACGGAGGATAGAACCACTTGCTGCTCGGGGAGGAAGGCTGAGCAAGGGGGGGGAAGGGATTCGGGACAAGGGGGAGGGGGAGAGGAGGGAGCTTCGCGTAGGTTCAAGGTAGTACGGGAAGTAGTACGGGAAGCAATACATTAAGTCGCAGCGATAAGCGAGTGGGTTCACATGCACAGAATCGACCATGCATTGTACGACAAAGAATCCTGGCGCGCTCAACCTTCCATAGTTGTCTCACCCGCATTGCACTTCCCTGATCTCCCCAATATTTCCGGTCCCCCCCTCCCCACACACATACATACACACCTACACATAGTTTCCCCTCCCCCCTCACCCTCACCCGCATCGTTATAGAAGCAGTGGTAGCCCAGAGCCAGGGTAATCGCCCCGCGGGGCAGTCCCCCCCACCACATCACTGCAGGGCCCCCGGGGGGAAGGGGCTCCGAAACCCGCCAAGTACGGTTAGCCAGCCAGCACAGGGGGAAAGTCACACTGGCTCGTACGGCAGTCAGCAGCAGCAGCAATCCCCCCGCCAAACACAGGGATGCGAGGAGAGAGCGCTCCGGGTGGGGCCCCGGGTCCGGTCGCCTGGGGCCCGGGAGGCAGCAGCAGCAGCAGGGGGAGGGGGGAAAGACGATTCAGGAACGAGTGAAGCTGCTGCCAAGGAAAGAGTGTACAACAATGGGAGGGGGGCCGGGTAGGGGAGGGGGAAGGGGGCGCGGGGAAGAGAAAGGATAATGTAATAACGGAGAAGGAAGCTGACGTCCAATGTACGGCATCCCAGGATCGTACAATCCTGAACGCCCGAGAGGCCTTCTCCAGAAAGACCCGAACCTCCAGGGGTTCCGGTTCTTGTCGCCGTGCACACACAGTGTTTGGGTCGCTGGTAAAGTCGTTGGTTGTTGGTTGTTGAGATGTTTGGTTTTCCAGCCAGAAAGAAAAGCTCCTTTCCGTCCACCTCTCCCCTCTCCCCACACCCCTTCCTCTAGTCCCCTCCTACATACATACATACATACATACATACATACATACATACATACACACAGGCCTACCCCCCCATACACATACACACACATACACACACACACACCGCCCCCCTCACCACCACGCCGAGGGGCCCCACACGTCCAACCCAGCCGCCACCAGCAGCAGCACCTCACAGCCCGCAGAGATCACGTGGAAGCCGTGACGGGTGATCATCTGATGCAGAAAGATCCGGATCGAGTTCCGAAACCATTGCCCAGATGTTGATGGGGGAAGGCGAGGGGACGTGGACGTGGGTTTGTGCTTCTTAGAGGTGATAATTGTGTGTACGGATGTACGGATAGATGGGGGCGCGAAGATGGGAAAGTCGCAGTAGGTACGGTAACGACGGGGGCTTCAATTCTCTGGTTGGCTGAGAGCTGGTGGCGCGTTGCGCCCTCCCTCGGGGGCAACTTCACCCGGCGGCCGACCTCGCAACTGCCCCTTCTCCCCCCCCCCACAGCCTCCTCGGCGATATCCCACCGCTTCCTCTAACCCTCCTTACCCTAACTACCTCGCCCCTAACTACCTCACCCCTAACTACCTTCCTTAACTAATTACCTCACCCCAACTATCTCACCTTGGCCGCCGGGCCCAGGTTGTGCCAGGTGTAGTGGCTCATGGCTATCCCGCAAAAGAATACGGACAGTACGGCAGACAGTTGCAGTCCCTCTGCCAGGAAGTACGCCACCAGGCCAAGCAAGGCCACTGTCAGAACCTCCTGATCGGGGCTGGGGCCCGGGGGGGCAGCGGCAGCTGCTGGGGGTGGGGGGGGCCCCGCCGGGGGGGGAGGG